GGCTGGCCTCATGAGTCTGTTTATTACCTGTTAGTAGGCTTAATTAAATAGAGGCCTAGGGATTGTTAGCAAACTAACGTAGAGGGAGAGCGATGTAAATCTTTCAAAATCAAGGTGAATAAGGCCCATGTTGAATCTTTCAGAATCAACCTGGTATCCGATGTCATCTGTGTTCTTCAAATCTGGGAAGCATAACCAGTAAGCACAGTACCAAGAAATCAATCAGCTTGAATTGGTCAGTTTCAGCCCTGGTCTTAGTTTCACCAAGTCATGCACTGCCATTGGGTATTTTACGTTGCCTATGGGCTGCGCATGGAAAAGCAAGATTGAGTTGTTGCTGGGCATGATGTGTTTCTACAGGAAATGAATTTCATTGTTCCCTATATATTGTACACACCATAGCTTTTGAGCTTTCTGCTAGTTCAGTAACTTTAACTACTGCATGCCCTGTACAGGTTTCAGAAGCAAATTTAGTGGAAGGAGATGGTGAATTCTCCAAGGTAGTGAAAACAATGCAAGCAAAGGCCAAGCTAGTTCAGATTGGTTCCATCCCACCGAGTGAGCTGGGAAAACTGAAAGCCTATCTATTGAACACTAGATCAGATGGTTAGTTTTTCACAGAATTGTAAACTAGCTGTAATTTAGGGAAACTATATTTAATAATCAGTAAATTCTGAAACTGGAATCTTCAAATTTTATTTCTTCACCGAGTTAAAAGGAGCATTATTGTGTTTCATTCCTTTATAGCCGAAAACTTCACTTTCAGAGTACATCTTGACTTTTTATCTTTGCAGGTATTTGGGATGTTCTGGTAGAAGTTGTAGCAGCTCTGCAACATGTTGAAGGAAGTATAAAAAAACAGTGGCTTGTTGATGCAGTGGAAATTAGCTGTGTAACAATTTATCCTTCCACGGTAGCCCAATTCTTCTAATATGTTATCGTTACTTTTTGAAATTGATGTGGATTGTCCCAAAACCCTAGTCTGTTTACTCTGGCACAAATGCATGATACATGGTAGTATTTTCTGTCAGAAATCATGTATCTAGTGCTGAAAATAAGTGCGTTGGTAATTGAAAACATGCTGCCTTCATCTCCCAATTGTTCTGTTCAATTTAATGGGATGTTAGTGCGTGGTGAAGTCTCACATTGCCCAACTATGAAAGTGATGTGCTTATATAGTCTCACATTGCCCAACTATGAAAGTGATGTGCACTATATAAGCGTGAGGGCATCCCCACTAAATAACTAGCTTTTGGGATTAAGGTCAATCAGGGATAGGTGGGGTGCGTATCCCTAGCTTGCATGTGGTGGGTGCTACCAAGTGAGGGAGGGAGGGTGTGATGTGAAGTCTCACATTGCTTGGCAATGCAAGAGATCCCAAGATTGGTACCTCATTTTTCATCACCCACTACACACTGTGTAGGGCTTCTAAAGTAAAGTGCAATATATAAATGTGAGGGCACTCTCACCTTAACAACTAACTTTTGGGGTTGAGTTCTATGTTGTTAATATGTTCATAGCAGTTTCTCTTTGGGGCTTGTTAGCTCCTACTGCACTCTTACAATACCTTAGCTTCTTTTTTAATGATGTCCTTGAAGTCTTTCTATTGAAAAACTAGGTTATGAGTTATCAACTGGCTTAGATTTTTCAGATGAATTTTAGTGGGTTACACCTGTTAACAGCTTGAAAATTTCATTGCATTTATATATTTATCCTCGGTTCCCCTGCAGGCTCTGCGTTTCGTTGGTATGCTCTGTGGTAGCTGCTCCAAGTATATGCCTCTCCTAGTTGTGGACCAACACACGGTGTTGAGTGACCTACCGGTTACCCTTTCATCTCTTTTATCAGATAGCAGCTGGGGGTTGGTTGCAGAGTCTGTGGTTTCGTATTTGTGGGCATCCACAGAGAGAATTTATGATTGGGCCATGCGTATAGCACGCAGTGATGATTCACCTATCCTGCAGCCTATTGACAAGAGTGAGAATGTTTCGGCATTTTTTCTATTGCAGATGATGCATCGTACCTGTGTTTCTTTGAAAGATTATTTGCCTCCTGAGAAGCAGTTCAAGCTTGCCAACTTGGTGGTCCCTTGAATTCTGGGACATACGTTGAAATGCTTGCAACAAGGCTTGAACGCATGATGTTTGTATCTGGGACATGCGTTGAAATGCTCGTGACAAGGCTTGAACGCATGATGTTTGTATTAGTTGCAGCTTGTAACATTTTGTTTTTTGTATAGTAGTTTCAGAGGAATTTCATTTTCTATGTGATGTAACTTTGTTAGTAACTGAAATTGTTTCTAATAGGAAAATTAATCCAATATCTCATCTGGATGTAGATTAACTGTTTAATAAAATTTGAAATTTAGGATAGGATAACATTCTATGATGGAATGAGATTAGATTTCAATGTTATGTTTGGATGGTAAACTTGAGAAGTGAAATGAGAATCTCATTGTTATGGGTTGCATTGAGATGTGATTTTTTTCACTTTATTCTCAAGGTGTAACCTCTTGTGGAAATTTCACGTTCTTAAAAGAATTTAAAATATTTTCTATTCAAAAAAAAGAAAAAAAAAGAAAGAAGAATATAAAATATTTGAGTGAAAATATTTAAAAATTTTGGTGTATGGTTTGTTTCTTAGATTCTTAAATTAATTGTTGTCTCAATTTAATTTTTGAATTTTTTTTTTCATTTCTGAAATTATATGCAGTGGTACTGTGTGAAATTAATTTTAAAAAAGTAAAATAATTTATATTTTGAACTCTGAAATAGGATGTATTTTTCATTTTAGTCTTAAAAATAGTTTTGAAACTTCTTGTTTTTCTAATAGGAACGACGGCCCCAGTCAATGAGCATTTTTAGTATTGGGACAAGTCATGTATATAGGATTTATTAGTAAATATTTTTTTAAAAAAAGAGTCTGTTAAAAATAAATGAAAGTTTTAAAAATATTTTAATTTTAATAAAAAGTGTATTTAGAGTTTTTCGTTTTATTTATTTTGAAAAGAGCGGCTGTTGATTTTTGGGTTTCATACTTTAGAATGCAATTGATGAACTGTCGAATTGAGGGGTTGTGTCTGGGTTGTTGGGTGACAATCGGAATGGGCGGATCGGAACGAGGGGAGTTATGTGGGGGGGAGTAGCGGAATGCTGTGATGGTGGGGTGGGGCAGGTTTTGAGAGGGTTGATTAAGAAGTTGAAGAGATATGGTTGCGACCGAATTGAGTTCAGAGACTGTGCATAAGTATGTATAAAGTGAGAAATTTAATAGAGTATGGTTTATAGGATATATACAGAGTAGATTTTATATGAATGATCTGGGGTTGGATATTAGTGACGGGAGCTACTAATTGTGTGGAATCAGGAATTTTACTATATTTAAATGCTTTCTGGGCATAGTTCAGTTTTACTTGGTAAGAGATTGTTATTAGAGGTTGGCGTGGAGCAATGTTCGGCAAGCCCGTAGCTCCTTCTGTGCGGAGCTCGCGTCAAGGTGGGGGCCGTATCCGCTGGGCGAGCAAGTAGCGGGTGAGGCGACCCGGGCGGGTGTGTGGCGGGAAGAAAAAAACCTCCGACGGTCAAGTTAGCACAACGGCTGTAGGATGGGAATAGGAAGGATGGAGGGAGAGTGTTTATGAGTGTAAGAATGTCGCTTACAAGATTCGGGGGGGTTCGGCGGTGTGGGGGCGCAGACATGGCTGGGGGGAGTATAGGCGTCTGGCGCCCGATAGTCCACTCCCGTTGCATTCCGGACGACGGGTGGCTGTGGCTGCGTTATGGCCCGAGGCTTTCAGACGAGTAAACCATGGCTTTCGATCACGGCTTGTCTCAATGGGCCGGGTCAGCGAGTAGCTGGAGCTCGGCAGCCGAGGCTGCGGGCGCTACCTCGGTCATACCATGCTTGATGACCTAAGCGCAGGCTAAGGCCGGGCATAACCGAATGAAGGACCGGGCTAGGCGGCATCTCGGCAAAGCCTAGCCCGGGCTCCTCCTTTGGTCGGCCTTCTCGTCGGTCAATCAACTACCTCGGCTGACCGCGCCTTTCCGAGCGCCGGTCTCTCGGTCTGTCTGGTTTCGACCATCCTCGGACCGAGCATCCTGGTCTGACCGGTCACTTCCTGGCCGAGCAGCTTCTGCACGGTCCGGGGCAGCACACACTCAGTCCAAACTCTGCCCGGCCCAAGTTCTGGTAGCCCATCTCCGGGTGAACAGTCGATCATCTCGGCCCAATGCTCTGCTGGGCCCTCAACTTGCTCGGTCTATACCTCGGCCCAACACCGGAGCATAAATCACCCTCTCAGAGGTTAATATATATATTAACTAAATGGAGTGAAATGGTTTAAAAGAGGGATTATAAATTTTAAAATTTACTCTGTAGTTAATAGATAAAACGATACAAATTAATGTAGATCGATATAATTTTAATGAGTTAGGCGATATTTTGCGCCGCTCTAACGGTCAATATTGTAGGATGTTTGATCATCAGGTAATTTGTTCATCCAAAACCCTACATTGTTCAAAATTCCCCCCGCCCCTATAAAGGTACACAGGGTTCCTGAGATTTGGAGTTTCAGTCTGTCGAGATATTTATGATTAACTAATCCTTGCTTTGTGTCAGGAGAATCGGCCATGTGCAGCAAAGAATCTCTTGGAAAGAATGTCTCAAGTTGGTCATGAGCCTAAAGAGGAAATTTACAATGAGTTGGATCTATTCTCTATCCAAGTGTGATTTTGTGGAGGCATTACTGTTGAAAGCTGTGATGGTTTCTAATGATATGAAACCCAATTTAGTTACCTATAATGCTCTTATAGGCTGCCTGTGTAGATTAAGTAGGAGTGTGAAGGGTGAGTCCTTAATGAGAGAAATGGTTGAATTTGGTGTGAATCCTAATATTGCTACTTGCAAGGCTTTGATAAATGGATTCTGCAAGGAAAGGAATCTTGATAAAGCAGAATCTCTACTTGGTTCAATTGTTGAAGAATTTGAAATTTATGATGTCGGGAGTGATTTCGAATCAGCTGCACTGATATTAGGGAGGGATGAGAATTCAATGGAGTTTAATCTCAGTGTGAGGACAGATGGTAAAGGGAAGTTCAAAGCTATTAAGCTTTCTTCAAGTACAGGGCGAGTATTTTGACTGAGCTGGATAGAATTAGATGGAATAGAATTGGTTCTGTTGCAGAATTTCCAGTACTTCATCTCCAGAGAAGGAATTCGGAATGGGTTCCTTTTGGAAGTTACGATTTTTCTTGGCATTAATCTGTTTTTCAATCTTGTTTTGATAGTAGAAGCTAGTTTGATGATGGGATGCATTGGTGGTCTTCATTCACTTAATAAATAGTTTGAAGCATTACTATGAACAACATGACAATGTAAGAAAGTGAAAATAACTAGAAACTGTAAGGAAGGGATGGTATGATTAACTACTTTTTTTTTTTTAATAAGCAAATAATTTGAGCAAAGGCTCCGTAAAATGGAGGTGGAACCATGAAAATGCAGAGTGTAGTTTTGAGCACATAAATAATTACTTGGGAATGAGGTTTGGAAAGAGAGTGTATTTTGTCTGTTAATATATGAATATAACAACAATGATTCATTCCACTAAAAGCATCACCACTAATAGCACTAATGTAATAAAAAAGTAAAAAAAATAAAAATAAAAAAAATACAACTCCAAGACCAAAACATCACATCATTAATGACGGGACCCACTGCCACCTAATTAGTGAGAGCACTAATTAGTGCTCCCAAGCATTTTTCATGAATATAATTGTATATGAATATAATATAATACTATATCTGTTAATATATTATAGTATAGAAACCAATTATAGCATGTATATAATATCAAAAGATAGGATTCCCTTTGTCCTCGCTTTCGGTCGTCCGCCATCTTTCGGCCCCTTTTTCTTATTATATTAAATTGTATCATCATGATGTTTTTGTATCCAGCTCCTATATTATGGAGCTTCTATCTTGATTCTGAATATAGAGTTTACATTACAGAATTCTCTTTCAATATTACTCTCTCAATTTGTCTTTCATGGTATCAGAGCGCAGGTATTTTTCCTAAGTCTCTGCATCACATTTTTCTTGGCAGATTGCTGCGTACCTCGTCCTTACCTAATACACAGATTGGACAATACCATCACCTTCGTCTCTCCACAATGAAGCCAACGCCACCAGATTCATTCTCATCTGACGTCTCACGCGCCTCCACGCGCCGCCAGAACATTCGGCCACTCGCTTGATCGTTCCAGACGCGCTCTACGCGCTTCCTACACTGTCCTGTGCTATTGTGCGCTACGGCCTCATCTGCTAACGTGAGCCGCGTGTTTTTGACGTCAGCTGACGTCAGCCCTGACTGCTTCCGTGCGCTGTGTCTTCGCCTGCTAACGTGCGCCGCGCCTGTGACATCAGCACTGCATCATCCTTGTTTGACCAGCATCGTTGACTACTCCATTTTCAGCCTTTCTGGTCATATTTTTTGGTTCGTTCACTTCTTTTCTGACTAATTTTGACCTTCTGAATTCACTGGTACTCTCGATTTTTTTCGCTTCTCCCTCATTTGTGCTATTTTTCGCTCATGGATCGCCTGGACTCCTCTACCCAACCTATTTTTGTTATTCTTGACGAGACTAATTATGTCTTATGGGCACAAGCTATGTCTGGCTTCCTCAAAGGAAAGAAACTTTGGCGCATCATCACTGGGGATGTGTGCAAACCCGTTCAAGGGACCACAAATTCCGCTACCACGGACTCCGCTGCCAAATATGTCGACCGACTGGAAGATTGGGATAGTAAAAACTATCAGATCATCACTTGGTTTCGCAATACTTCTATTACATCTATCAGCCTTCAGTTTGGTCGGTTCCAACTTGACTCTGCTTCCTCTCCTGCCAAAGCAATCTGGGATTTTTTACAAGAACGCTATCAGACTACTGGCCTTGCTCACCAATATCAGCTTCTGAGTCATCTTCACGGTATGCGCCAAGAAACAACTCAAACCATTAATGATTTTCTCTCCCAAATGTATTATGCTTGGGATCAGCTCGCTCTTTCTGAACCTCCGTGGGATTGTACTAAGGATGCTACCTTGTTTACTGCCTACCGTGACCAACAACACTTAGTTCAGTTTCTCATGGCTCTCACTCCCCGATTTAAGCCAGTCCGCGCATCTCTCCTTCATCGTACTCCTTTACCCACTCTTGAGCAAGCAATTTCTGAACTCTTGTTCGAGGAAACCAGATTTGGTACTCTCCATCCACACCCTATGGACTTTGTTCTTGCCACTCCCCAGATTCGAAGTTCTCCTTCCTCACCTTCACCACAGAGGTCCAATGCCTGCAATTACTGTCACAACCGCCATCTTCCGTCGACTCATCTTCTGGTTAATTGTCCAGTTCGTCTTTGTCGGTTTTGCAACAAGACTGGCCCTGGTCATCTCCAGCAAGATTGCTTCCGCAATCCAGCCCGTGCCTCTTGCAATGGTCCTTCCACCGGGAATTTTTCTCGCAGCCACTCTCACCGTTCTGGGACTCCATTTAAACCAATGCCTGCTCAACGAACTGCTGCTGCTGCCTCAGAGGATTTACCTTCCTCTGTCCCTATAGACCCTTCCACTCCAGTCTTCTCTCAAATTGACGTCGCAGCCATGTTTCAACATTTTTGGCAGAATTCCGGTACTCCTCCATCTACTGCTTTATCTGTCACCGCAGGTAACACTTCTTGGTACTTTGACTCCGCTTGTTATAATCACATGACCTTTGACCCTACTATTTTTACTCCTCTCTCTTCTACTCCTCATGTTCCTTCTATCTATACTGCTGATGGGTCTCTTTTGTCTGTAAGTCATGTTGGTTCTGTTTCAACATCTCACTTATCTTTATCCCATGTCTATCTTATGCCTGCTCTTACTTTAAATCTTATCTCCATTAGTCAATTATGTGAGCATGGTCTAACTGTTACCTTTTCCCGTACTGGTTGTTTGGTGCAGGACCCTCGGACCAAGCAAACTCTTGGGATAGGCCGTAAGCAAGGACGTCTCTACGAACTTATCCATCTTCATGTTCCGGATTCCTCTCAAATCACTGCTCCTACCACTACTACCACTACTACCACTGCTACCACTACTACCACTGCTACCACTACTACCACTGCTACCACTACTACCACTGCTACCACTACTACCACTGCTACCACTACTACCACTGCTACCACTACTACCACTGCTACCACTACTACCACTGCTACCACTACTACCACTGCTACCACTACTACCACTGCTACCACTACTACCACTGCTACCACTACTACCACTGCTACCACTACTACCACTGCTACCACTACTACCACTGCTACCACTACTACCACTGCTACCACTACTACCACTGCTACCACTACTACCACTGCTACCACTACTACCACTGCTACCACTACTACCACTGCTACCACTACTACCACTGCTACCACTACTACCACTGCTACCACTACTACCACTGCTACCACTACTACCACTGCTACCACTACTACCACTGCTACCACTACTACCACTGCTACCACTACTACCACTGCTACCACTACTACCACTGCTACCACTACTACCACTGCTACCACTACTACCACTGCTACCACTACTACCACTGCTACCACTACTACCACTGCTACCACTACTACCACTGCTACCACTACTACCACTGCTACCACTACTACCACTGCTACCACTACTACCACTGCTACCACTACTACCACTGCTACCACTACTACCACTGCTACCACTACTACCACTGCTACCACTACTACCACTGCTACCACTACTACCACTGCTACCACTACTACCACTGCTACCACTACTACCACTGCTACCACTACTACCACTGCTACCACTACTACCACTGCTACCACTACTACCACTGCTACCACTACTACCACTGCTACCACTACTACCACTGCTACCACTACTACCACTGCTTTATCATTACTACCACCATCGCTACCACTTCACTACCACCACTACCACTACTACTACCATTACCTCTCTTCCACCACCGGCATCAAGAAAAAGCACGAAGCTGGAGAAAGGAGCGGGCGGAATAATGAAGTCCATGAAACAAGGTACCTTTGAGATAACGAAGGATACGAACTAATGCAGCATAATGAGGGGTACGAGGACGGACATAAACTGGCTGACAATATGAACGGCATAGGCAATATCAGGACGAGTAACAGTGAGATAGACAAGGCTGCCAACCAGCTGACGATATAGGGTAGCATCAGAGAGAAGAGTGCCATCAAGAGGTGTAAGACGACTCTGAGGCTCCAGGGGAGTGGAGGCAGTCTTGCAATCCGTAAGACCAGTGCGGATGAGAAGATCAGAGGTATACTTAGCCTGAGAGAGAAAAGATCCCGTGGAATCATGGAAGATTTCAAGACCCAAGAAATAGCTGAGAGGACCAAGGTCTTTCATCTCGAAATGATGGCTAAGAAACTGTTTAAGGCATACAATACCATCAAGATCGTCACCGGTGATAATCATATCATCCACTAAAGGAGAAGTAAGGTGGTCCCTTGAGCAGTTTTCCGGATAAAAAGAGCAGTATCATAAGACTGGAGTGAAACCACAGTCATGAATAGTAGAGCTGAACTTGGCAAACAGCGCGCGGAGCTTGTTTGAGACCATATAGAGCACGCTGAAGTTTGCAGACTTTATGAGGTGGATAAGTAGACCCAGGGGGAGGTTGCATGTAGACCTCCTCAAGAAGAAACACCATTAAGGAAAGCATTTTTCACGTCCATTTGATAAAGATCCAGTGTCGGGTGGTAGCAACCGCAATCAGGCTGCGAACAGAGGTGAGACGAGCAACAGGAGCAAATGTCTCCTCATAGTCAATACCATATTCTTGGTGAAGCCTTTTGCAACAGGCGGGCTTTGTAGCGCTCAATAGATCCATCAGAACAAGTTTTGATTTTGTAGACCCATTTGCAACCAATGGCAGTCTTTGCCAGAAGGAAGATCAACAATGTCCCAAGTGTGAGTTTTGTCTAAAGCCTGCAATTCATCAGTCATAGCTTGCTGCCAAAGAGGATTAGAGCGAGCCTCACGAT